TGGGTAGGCAAGAGTAGGTTTAGAGTTGTTTGCATGGAAAGACATATGCAGGTTATGATTATTACAATAGCTTTATTAACCCTGTTCAACATACTCACAACTGTAAACCTACTTTTGTCCACCCCTGTATATATAATTAAAGCTAAATTTGAACTAACTTATCCTGATTGACACTCAATAACATTCAATTTCACTAGAAAATTTTTCACCTTCTAATTTAGTTTCTCTGTGAAGCTGAAGCTAAAAACAGCTCCTCAAAAGTTTAATTACTGGCCAATTTCCAGACGTCTGTACTAAGCCTACACAGTAACAAGCTGATGCTAATAACCCATACATAAAGATCCTTCTTATTAAAATACAAATTAGGCCCCCCTCATGTTTATACATGTGTAAGTACAATTAATATTGCAGGCTTAGTTGGAAATAAGACTGTTATAGTTAACCAACCATTGCAATACAATCAAATGAGATTTCAAATGCAATTGGAAAGATCAGTTCTATAGAAACAGCAGCAATTATTTCATGTGGAGCAATTAGTTTTCCAAATTCTTTTTTCCTTCTCCCACCTGCTCTTAAAAAAAAAATTCGTCCATCATAAATGACCCGAAATGTCACCTTTAACACCCGTATGTTGTAAGGAGTCCTGAAAAGCAGCTGGTAGACATGGCTTATTTACAAATATGGTTTGAACTTGTAAATGCATGACCGCACAACTCTTAATCCATTTAGAGTGTATGCCCTTTGTTCCCTTAATTGTACATTCAATTGGGAATTGAGCTGAGGGAGAGTGTGAATTACATGATCTGTTTCTTGTTGCCAGCATTTTAGTACTTTACCTTTTGTTCTTGTTGTTGGTGAAACTTCTCTACAATACACAGTAGGGGAAGTTAATCAACATTTTGCCTAAGTAATATTAATAAAACTGGCCTACTTAGACTTGAGGGAAGAATCAGAATATTATATTTCTTTTTGAAATGTTAATGTACCTCTTAGGAAATTATTTCTGCCTTCTAAATCATCTTAGTGTTAAATTATTGAAGGATGGCATTAAAGAAATATTGCACTGATGCAAACAGTTAAATACCTCAAAAGATAAAAGTCTTATATAGTTTCAAAGAAGGACTTTTTAAAATAAGGTGGCATTTAACTTCAAATTGAACATTTTTAAGTGTTTAGTTAAGACATTGCTAAAATCTGCAATTGTTTTGTGAGCTCTCACAAAATAAGGGGAGATTTCATGGTGCTGATTTCTAAGTTCCAACCAGAGCCAGGCACAAATCTTAATTAGATTTGTATAAATGTCCTGGAAGGAGTGGCTTAACCTTTCTATATATGAACTGAAGCATCATCTACTTTATCAACAATAAAAAATAGGAAAAGGAAAAGTATCTTATTTTTGCACTATTTACTTATTTGAGTCTGAAGGTTAGATAATCTTCATTCACGTCCTATTCTTAAAATACAAAACCACCATTATCTGACTGTTCTATCAGCCATGGTATTTGAAAGGGAAGGACTCTTGTAAAGACGTTATGTATGACTGACATAGTAAGATATGGAAAATATGAATTCTCAGTGTGCAAACTGTGACAGACACATGTCCCCTGAATATCATTCACAGTCTTTCAAGAGGAACTCAAAAAATGAGTTGACAGGTCTCTAAAGTGGCCGAATCTGTTTTTTCTTTAACAGTCTATTTTAATGTCAATCAATATGTTCATATGTCCTAAATAAAGTATGAGGTAATCTAGGGGGAAATTAAGAACAGAATTTGTTCAGGAATTCTCCACACTGTGACTACTATTTGCTAAGAACTCTTAACATTTACTGGGTAAAGTATTTATTTTCTATTTTGCCCTATAAGATTTAGGCATGGCTTTTGTGTCATTATGGGACTAATTTGTCCTCTTGGATAAATTTTCCTAGCAGTGATTCTCATTGGATATAGACAATGAGAAAATAGGTAATAGGAATTACATTTCAAAGTAATTTTTCCAACATTTTTACATCTGACAAGAAAGAATACAGATTCAAATTGCTGGTACATCATAATCTAATTGGCTTCTTTTTCCTTTCTTAGCAATAAATAAATGATAGAGTGCCTTACAAATAATTATGGTTTGAATTCAATATAATATAGTAATAGCTAACACACATTGAAAGTTTTTGTGACATCTACAATGGTCACCTATTACTTCCATCAGGAGAAATAAATCATTGCCAGAATGTTAATTTAGTGTTAATCAGCTTGATATCAAAAAGTTCACAATATATCTGGGGAGAAAAACATTATATCCACAGAACAATAACATAATAATTGAATAAAACAACACCAGTTATATAAAAGGGATTACCACATCCCTACTTGCCAAATTATTTTCAAACACATTGTTCCTTAGAGATCTAAAAATGACATACAACTAATCAATGACTATGTAAAATATTATCAAATTCCTTTAATTCAAAGAAAAGCTTTTTGAAAGCAATGGAATCTATATACAAAAGAAGCCAATCTGGATAAACTTGACTTTGGGGTGCTCAGAATTACTTGTGACTTAAACTAAAACAGAACCAATTTTACTACAGCAATTCTAGGCAGAATATATGGTCCAGCTTCACATCTATTATGTCTTACATAGGACTTTACTATGCCACCTAAATCGGGGGAGGATTTGAAGATTAGTTAATCAAAAGGATACTTATTTGGGTCAATTACTTTGGCTGCATTTTTGTCTAATCAAAAAACAAAAATATTTAAGTTTCCTTTTATCTAAAAGTAACAACTACAATGTAAAATCTATATTGGATGAGTTTACAAATTGCCCTCAGTACTCAAAGGTTATCTTTTTCAATTTAATCATCGATTGTTTTCTTTATATATTATGGATGATAAATTGATCCTTTTTAACCTCCCTATGTCAAACAATTGTGGACCAAGGCAGTATCTACACGATGCCAATAAATCAAGCAATATGATCAATTTATGGAAAGAATCAAACTGACAGTAGTGAGTCTCCACTTAGTAGACTAAGAGTTCAATAAATGAGTATATTTTCCTTTCATATACAGTATAATCATACAAACACAAAGGAAACATGCTAATTACAGAACCTCAATTTAGTGTTCTGTTGAAGCACAACTTTCTTAACCTTCAAATTTGAGATTTAGGTTTGAAAAACATTCAAAGACAATTGAACAATACAATCAAACTGTTACTCATACTTGGTTCCTGTTTTAACATGCTCAAAATGAACTGTCTATAATTTTTCTGTAATCAGACACTAAAACATGTTTAATATAAGTGAAAAGTTCAAATACGTAGCAGAAATATTTTAACTGACTATTAAAGATAGACTTTTTCACCGTCCCCCTTAGCTGTAAGAAGACAGATAAGATATATACATAGATGATAGATGATAGACAGATGATAGGTAGATAGATAGAAATCATTACAAGAATAATTTCTGCTATTTGTATAATTACCACAATAGTCTTGTTGAACAAAATAAGTTTATCAAAAAAAAATACATGGAAAAGTTAATATAAGTTGGCATTTCTAAAAGTGGGGCAGAGTAGATGAAAGATTACTTCCAGCTAACATGGAGCAAATTAAATTTCAAGAGGTTTAATACATTTATTCTCATTTTAATCACACTGCCCACTATAAAGGTGATTATCATATGCAAGTTGCTTCTCACAAACTCAGAATTTTAAAATGCCACTTGTTTTTCAACTAATATATCTACAAAGTTTATTCAGATATTGTAATGTAATGTTATTTTTTACTGTAATTAATTTTATAAATACCTTTGAGTGTGGAAGAACATTTCAATGAACTCTTCTTTTAAAAAAATATAGAACATAAGCAGGAACACTTGGAATAACTTAATTGGCCCTGATTATCGAAAAGCAATTTTTTTTAAAGCAACAAACTATAGCTACATTTGGTCCTATAAACCGTAAGATTTCATTACATATATTGATCCTTTTAGTAATATAAGTAATGTACTACTCTTGAATACCATGAAGTTCATGGGCTCTGACATCATGGGCAGTAATGTCCCCTTCAAGTGCTTTCTATCAAAAACTAACATTTCAACCTGGGCAGTGTGGCTCAGAGGTCAGCCTATGAACCAGAAGGTCATGGTTCCATGCCTGCAGGGCACATACCCAGGTCCCGGGCTTGATACCCAGCAGGACATGTGCAGGAGGCAGCCAATCAATAATTCTCTCTCATCATTGATGTTTCAATCTCTCTCTCCTTCCCCCTTCTTCTCTAAAATAAATAAAAATATATATATATAAGATATATAAATATATGTATATTTTTATTCATAAAATTTCTTCATTTCTGTATATTTAAAACGACTAACATTTTAGCTTTTAGAGAAAGCTTCAATCAATAGAGTATTTTAATCTTGGTAGGTTGTTGTTAGTACATTCCTGTATAGGATATCTATAATAATAAAAGCATAAAATGCTAATTAGACCAGAAGTCCTTCTGAATGACCTTCCTGACGAAGCCAGGGCTGTGAGGAAAACCCGGGTCCTGGTTGCCTGCTGGAGGCTGGAGGAAAGCCCGGGCCCCCGGTGCCAGAGGGAAGCCAGTGCCCGCAACTAGAGGAAGGAAGGTCTACCTTGCACGATTTTGTGCATCGGGCCTCTAGTAAATAAATAGTAAATGATGCCTTGTTTATTCAGATATTGTAATGTAATGTTATTTTTTACTGTAATTAATTTTATAAATACCTTTGAGTGTGGAAGAACATTTCAATGAACTCTTCTTTTAAAAAAATATAGAACATAAGCAGGAACATTTGGAATAACTTAATTGGCCCTGATTATCGAAAAGCAATTTTTTTAAAGCAACAAACTATAGCTACATTTGGTCCTATAAACCGTAAGATTTCATCACTAAATAATATTAATGGAATCATAACTATAAAGACACAGCGCATCATTTATTTAAACCAATTGGTAAAAAAAAAAAGGGTCCTTACTGCAAAATCCTCCCTCCACTGGTGGGCTGCTTGAACTTTCTCTGCTTCCAAAGCCAGGCGCTGAAAAGAAAACAATAAATCTTAGAATGAAAATGACCACATAAATATGTAATCATTATATAGTCTTTGGGTTTTGAAATCACTTATGAAGGCAAAAAAACATAAGTGACTCCTTATTTATAATTCATAAAGTCTAAATGATTAAGTAATATAACATACTGAAGCTGATAAACAGTACATCTATTTATCCTTTTAGTAATATAAGTAATGTACTACTCTTGAATACCATGAAGTTCATGGGCTCTGACATCATGGGCAGTAATGTCCCCTTCAAGTGCTTTCTATCAAAAACTAACATTTCAACCTGGGCAGTGTGGCTCAGAGGTCAGCCTATGAACCAGAAGGTCATGGTTCCATGCCTGCAGGGCACATAATGCTAATTAGACCAGAAGTCCTTCTGAATGACCTTCCTGACGAAGCCAGGGCTGTGAGGAAAACCCGGGTCCTGGTTGCCTGCTGGAGGCTGGAGGAAAGCCCGGGCCCCCGGTGCCAGAGGGAAGCCAGTGCCCGCAACTAGAGGAAGGAAGGTCTACTCTTGCACAAATTTCATGCATCGGGCCTCTAGTATTTCTATATAAGCAGAACGGAAATGACATTGAAAAATCATTAAATATACACTAAGCATTATACTAGGCACTTTGTTACTATCATATTTCATTGTTTTTATTTTACCAAAAGTCGCAACAATGTGACAATGTCCACCTTGCTGAAGAACATTCTTAATAGTTCAGAGATAACCTGTGAGTAGTAAGTAGCAAGCTGTCACAATCGTCACACCTGAATATGGCTTAATTTACCTTCACTCTTATATACTAAATGAGTTAGAGAATTGTAGACTGACTTATTTCCCTAGGCTGATGATAAGCTATCTACTGTCCATCTCCTAAAACTTTTTGTAGGTAGATTATTTTTTTCCTTCTCTGGTGTTTAGGTTTTTCTCTTTGTATTTCCTGGTGTTACTATTATGTTCTCCATGTAATAAGGTTTTACAGGAGACAGGAACATTTAGTGATTAAGAGTAAAGAGATTAAGCCAGACTACCAGGGTTTAAATACCAACCCTGCTGCATAATAGCTGTGCAAACTTAGAAAAAATTAAGTTTCTCCTCCCATTTTCTTATGTGAATAATGTGAGAATCTGCCTCATGGATTGTTCAAAGGATTAAATGAGTTATATATACAATGCTGGGCAGAGAGGAAATGGTATGTATAACAGCTATGTAACTCTGAAGAGTAATTATGAATCTATTTGCACTCTGTGTCCATGTGGGAAAATAGCTTAGTGTGTGCATCTGTGGCCTGCCCTGCTTGCCCCCCGCCACCCCCCCCAATACACACACACACACACACACACACACTCACACACACACACAAACACACACAGTTAAAAGACAATGGCAGAAAGAAACAGGACAAATATAACATCAAATGCAGGGTGTTCCAAAAACATGTAGACCGACTTTAACAGCTGATAACTCATTTAATTTTCACTCCTTTCCAGGTTTAACTGATTGAAAATAATGGGTGAAGCCACACTAAACTTTGAACACAGAAAATTTATCCACTAGACTTTTTTTATGGAGATACATAAAAGATAAATTAACGGTACAAAACAGGCAACAGTTGATGGATTGAGGGTGCACAGATACTGAATAAAATGATTCTTGATATTTGCGATTCCATTGCTTCCTGTTATCAGCAGTGCCAGTTAACAGCTGATAACTCATTTAATTTTCACTCCTTTCCAGGTTTAACTGATTGAAAATAATGGGTGAAGCCACACTAAACTTTGAACACAGAAAATTTATCCACTAGACTTTTTTTATGGAGATACATAAAAGATAAAGTTAACGGTACGAAACAGGCAACAGTTGATGGACTGAGGGTGCACAGATACTGAATAAAATGATTCTTGATATTTGCAATTCCATTGCTTCCTGTTATCAGCAGTGCCAAACCAGACAGTCCTCAGTTAGAAAACAGGTGCTGCCCTAACCGGTTTGGCTCAGTAGATGGAGCGTTGGCCTGGGGACTGAAGGGTCCCAGGTTCGATTCCAGTCAAGGGCATGTACCTTGGTTTTGGGGACATCCCCAGTGGGGGGTGTGTAGGAGGCAGCTGATTGATGTTTCTGTCTCATCAATGTTTCTAACTCTCTGTCCCTCTCCCTTCCTCTCTGTAAAAAAAATCAATAAAATATATTTTTAAAAAAACAGGTGTGGGGAAAAAAATTCTTCATTTCTGTAGATTCTCATAAATTATTAAAATGGCTGGCCAGTGTTGCTCAGTGGTTGAGAATTAACTTATGAACCAGGTGGACATGGTTCGATTCCCGGTCATATGCCCAGGTTTCGGGCTTGATCCCCAGTGTGGAGTGTGAAGGAGGCAGCCAATCAATGTTTCTCTTTCATCATTGATATTTCTGTCTCTTTCTCCCTCTCCCTTCTTTTCTGCAATCATTAAAAATATACATTTAAATTTTGAAAATGAACTGTATGTTAATAAACACTGACTTTATGATCATTCAAAGTGTGTATACATTTTGGGGGGACCCCACGTAATCAAGTTGAAGGTATTATACTCATTTACTAAGAGATAAATGATCAGGTTAGGTTTGTAAAAAGTACAAATCTCCTAGTGGTTCGCTGGTGCATGAGTTTAATCTTTCACAATGAACTATGCTTCAGAGAGTGCTCCTAGCAAATCCAGACTACACTGGAAAATGGAAACAACCTTTAGAGCAGTTTTTTTATATTGGTGTATTGACCTCTATTCCCTGCTATTTAATATAATCTGTTCATTTTTCTAACTATTATGTAAGTATTACCCATGGCTATAAACTATTAGCTAATGGGAGATCTCAATTTAAGAGTCCCTAAGCTGAATTAAGAGGAAAATTGTCCAGCAATTTTAAATGACAAAGGTTTCGGCTATCAGCCACCAGGCACAAATGGGATGTAATAAGGGCTAGTAAACATTAGAAATTGTACCAGAGTAAACAAAAAAGGTTCTTTACGCTTTATCCCTACAAAAAGAAATAACTAAACAGCAAAGTTAAAAGAATGCATACCCTTCAGTAACATTTCATCACACTACTTTTGGAAACTCAAATTCAGTGTGGAAATGTAGCAAAAAAAGTGAATAAGACAGCAGCAAATGAAATGGAAATGGAGGCAATTTCTTCATCAGAAAGCCTCAGTGTGGGAAGATAAAGAAAAGGCAGAATGAGAAGATGAACATCAAGTGATATTCTTGACAAATTCAAAGTGTAAGTCTTCCCTCATTTTTAACAGGTAATATAAGGTAATATTTTTAACAGCTGAATATTCATATGTATGGGGCACACAACAAACTTAAGTATTTTGTGGATTTAAAGAAAATACTGGATAAAATACAAATAAGTTAAATAATTTTTAGATTAAAAATATTAGAACTCTAGAATGCCTTTATGTCTTTGAGAAGAATATTAAGGTTTTTTTCCTTTTCACAGTGCACAGAAGAAGGATCATTCCCCTACCCCCCCACCCCACCCCCAAACAAAACACACTGGGGGATATTCAGCCACAGGGAAACACAGTTTTTAACGCCGGAGCTCAAATTCTACCACGCTGTTCTCTATTCTAGAGAGCACGAGAAAGGACAACTAAAGTGATCTGATCCAGAATCACATGGCTTCTGATATAAACACAATCCATGCTTAATTAGCCCCAATGACAGTAATCATTACAGTTTACTTCTAGAAAAGAAAAATTAAAGAGGAATGAACAATAGCAACAAACTATAAGACAATTATCCTCCAGGGAGGAAAGTCCAAATTAGCTTTATTTCTAATATATGCTTTTAAACACTAATTTTATAAAATAAGTGCCATTTGTCACAAAATTCATCAATAGTTTTAGAAACTTAAAGACATATATAGGGTATCCCCCCAAAAGGATACACATATTTTGAATAATTATAAAGGAAATGTTTATTAAAACACATTTCATTTTCAAAATTGAGCTATCAGCTGTTAAAGTGTGTATACATTCTTTTTTGGCGGGGGGGTGGGGGGGAGGGCACCCTGTAGTTATATATGAAAAAAACGTGACCCTGGCTGGTGTGGCCTAGCTGGTTGGAGCATTGTCTGTACACTAGAGTCTGTGGGTTCAATTCTTGGTCAGGGCGCATACTTAGGTTGTTGGTTTGATCCCAGGTCG